TTCATCGGATATTGGATTGAATGCAAGAGTTGTACTAATGTTTAGCTCTTTGCGAGGCGGTTGCATTGAACTCGACTTCGCGGTGATCTAAAGTTTAGATGTCGAGTTATGCTTCACGGAATCCGAGGCTTCTTCTCCTTGAACCCTGGTTTTTTCTCTGGTTCTGTGAGCACATTCTTCCTTGGAGCAATGCGATTCTCAGTCACGCCACAGTGTGTGCCGTAGGTCAAAATGACGGGGCTGGCGTGATCCATAACATATTAACTTTTGAGCTCTCTCCGTTTTCAGAGGAAGGCGCCATGGGCTGACAAAGCTGCTGTTGGAAAGGGTTGTTGCAGTCCCCATTTTTGGGGATTGGTTTGGTGAAGCCGCACCGCGCTAGTATGAAACCCACCAGTTGCGAGGCTACATGGGCATAGACCCCTTTGAGAAGATTCGATTGAGCCCAAATTTGGCCCTTGGGGGACGTCTTGACTGTAATGGAGGAGGTCTAGTACACTTCTGCAGCCGCTAGCATAGGGCTACAATTGAAGGACTCTTCTTCGATGCGATGGCACAACCCCCAGGTCACATGGCCCCAAGCTTTATTTTTTGGCACAACATTGGTCCTCGGGTGTCTGATGAACAGCTCTCTCCTTATTCATATGGGCTTCAGAAGTACGTCAAAAATGACGTACAATACTTGTACCAAAAGTAAATGGTCTCTTTGTATAGTTTTGACTCTCTCAATCCATTTCTTGCTCTGGTAATGTGCACAACTTAAACCTCTAAATGAGAAAAAGAGAAATTTATGTATAAAACCAAAATAAATTTTAGTAATAAAGAAGAGAAAACATTCTATATGCCTCAAGGTATAGGGAATTTATACATACCACTCTCTCCTAGTTGTTGAATCTGAATGAATGGTCGGGATACCTTCTGTCAAGTGAGCCTTGACCTCTTGATCTGGATCAGATGGCTCAAAGTATTTTATTTTTAATGTTTTTTCTATAAATTAGAGGAAAATTAGTGAGTGTAATCATCTCAATGGGGTGTACCTAAAAATAACATTAAACAAACATTTTCATAAAAAAATGACCAAATTTCCATTGAAAGTTTTAGGCGTAGTTTGGTGATTTTATTTTTTTAAAAATATTTTTAAATATTTTTAGTTGGTGCAAGCCTATAAGAGGATTAGACGCCCCAAATTTGGTGTCAATAAGATTTGTAGAAAAATTTAAAATAAAATAGTCTTCTTTATTACTAAAATTTAGAGAAAACTAGTAAAACTATAAAAATATTTTTTAGCTCCCCATTATAAATCACCTAAAATTGTAACCATCAGATCTGGATTGGACGGTCTAGAGTATTTCAATTTTTTGTTTTTTGTATATATTTAGTCTGAAATTTTGAGCATCTATACATCTAAATGACTATTTTTTTTAAAAAAAAAAAACCAAATAACATATTTGCCCTTGAAAATTTGAGGCGGGCATCGTTCGGTCCTCTTACTTTATATATATTATTTTTGATATTTTCATAAAAAGTACTCCAATTGCCAAACTAGGTAATACTACCAACTTAAAGAAATTTCATGTCTAGAAACCAAATTTGTGGTTGCTAAACAAGAGAAAAAGAAAATCAATGATCTATGATTCCAAGTACCACAAGACTACTGCATTTTTGGAAAGTCAAAACATTGCTTTCTATGAAGCATTTGGAGAGAAAGAGAGAGTAGTACATGGTTGGAAAGGGGCACTGATAAAATTCTTGAAGAGAGAGGGAGGTTAGGGAGAGTTGAGAGGGAGAATAGAGATAAGCAAAAAGAGACATTAAAGAGAGAGGATAGGAAGAAAAAGGAAGAGAAAGAGAAAGATGCAACCGGGGCCCCACATTTTGACATTGAGAAAGTAAATTAAAATCTGCATTGTCCATCTTATTGGACGGTGCCAAGATCTGGTCTCCCACTTGCTGATACAGTCGTACCGAAAATTTATCATGGAACTTTTGAAGTTATCTTAAACTTTATCGGTAAAAACTCAAATTTTTCCATGTATATTAAAAAATAGGAAAATATGGAATGAGACTATATATTTTTGGTACAAGGTGGTCACAATAATCTTGGCCATTAGATGTGAAATTGAGTGGCTACAATTATTCCATAGACAAACACATTTATAACTATTTAATTTTATATGTAAAAGCTAAAAGTGGTTGTCACATCCTTATACTAAAGAAAAATAGTAGCGTACATGATTTTTAATTAAATCAAAAAAATTATTGTACCAATTTGTAGCCCTATCCACCAATTGTATGTGGGGCCCAACAATGTGATTTTACAAATGCGCAGAAACATATCACGCAAATTGTGCATGTTTTTAGGCTCGTTTTTTGTTAAAAGTAATTTTGTCATTTGATACATGCCAAATAGGCTTGGCCTTTGGCAAAAAAACACAAATGAGATGCGTAATTTTTGGCCTCTATCCTCCAAAAGTTGAATGAAACCTCAATCAAGTGGTATAGGGAGTACCTTAAATCACTCACTTATTTCATAGTGGGCGGATTGACTTTACTCCATTCTTGCCCCCTAGGTTCTAGATTCAAAAGTAGAGTGTGATCAATCAAAAACTCTTTTTTTTTTTGGGTAATGCAATGGGAAAGATAGGTCCTATTCGTTTTTTTAAGTAGATTAGGAGTTAGATTTTTTAAAGTGTTCGTGGGGTGGTGTCATTGATAAGAATGAAAACCACAATGCGGTGACTAGTTGTAGGGATGCTATCATTATGACCCAACCTTGTTATCTTTAAGGGCTAGAAGATCACAATCACCCTTAGTCATCTAATGGCGAAGGCCACAGCCACCCCTAGCCATCTAATGGCGAAGGCCACAATCACCCCTAATCATCTAATGGCGAAATCAAATAGGTTGGTGGTATATCATTAAACATTTTCAAAGTTCAAAAAAATGTATATCTTGTGCAGGAGCCAAAAAGCTAATTGGAATAAATATTTCAATACTATGTTCCATGATACACTTAAGAATCACCAAATTATTATATTTACAAAAGTAAAATTTTGACATTGAGTTCTTAACACTTATATCACCCTCCAAAAATTAGAGGATCATTGTTTAATCTTAGGAGATTACCATTTAGGCACATACAAATTGCAAATTGATATATTTTTTTTCTTCTTTTGAGATTAGTCACAATATTGAAGATGATACAACCCCGTCATCTGGGGTCCTAAAAGTACTTCTAGATTGGATTTTACCCAAGATAGAAAATCCGTGGGACCCTCAAATATTTGATAAATTACTTTGAACTTGGTGACATACTTTTTAAGGAATAAAGTGACGCCCTTATTAACAAATTTAACAATTCAATGGTAATACATTCCAATTAAAAAACTATCATGCAATCTTTCGTCTAATGGTGAAACGCCAAGAGACAAAGCCCATATATCTCCCCAATTTTTCTCTTTTCCAATAAAAACCTTTATTTGCAATTCAATTATCCATATTCAAAACCTTATTAACAAAAATTCATCCCAAAAATCATCTTATTCCAGATATGTTTTTTGAACAAATTTATGTTTATAAATTTTGTTTTGAAACTTCGAACCTACCACATAAAAAATAAAAAAACTATCAATTAAATTTGGGAAAAGTTTATATAAGGTTGCAACCTTAAAATGTAGAACTACGGATGCACCTCAAAAATCCATCAGTAAAGGTTGTTTTAATGTTAAAAACCTTCCAATTAATCATCTCGACATCGAGATGTATGACCATGAAAAAAAAAGATTTTGAGTCTTAGAAATGGTGCATCTTACAACACATTATCTAGACTGTCCATTTTCAAGAGTTTCATATGTTTACAGATCCACTTGATTTTAATTATTTTTAGAGTTTAAAATTTTATAATTAGATTTGAAAATAGATTTTGAGATAATCTTTAGAATATTTTACATCAAAATTATATATTATGATAAAATTTGAACGTTAAATGTATTGTTTAAGATTGCAACCTTATGAAAACCACACCCATTAAATTTTGTTTTGAAACTTTGAACCAACCACAGAAAATAAAAATACTATCAATTAAAAGGAAAGAAAGATTAAAGGGGAGAAAAGGGGCCCATAGATTCTCTCTCATGAATTATTTGGCCTTTAGGACCCACCCTCATTTCCTCTTTCCCTTAAGTTATACATTTTTATTACAAAAATTCGAACCTCCACTTTAAATTATACATTTTATTTCAAAAATTCGAACCACCACTTTGCGCAAATCTCAGCCGTTCATCCGCAACGTTCATGTGAAACCATTAACGGCTACCTGAGCCCCCGCCTTTGACGTTCTCAAAACGTTCACTTCTAACCGTAACCATACCATTTAACCATGGTTAAGTTAAATCCTAACCCTGAAACGGACTTACGGCCCTAATAAACCCAATTCAATACAGTGTGTCGGTTCCGGAAACCTAAATGGTCTGGATTCCTAAAATGACCCCAACATTTTCTTCTAATTACGATCGTGCCATCTCCCAGCCGACAGTCCAGAGACACTTGTACGGCTCGATTCAGCTAAAATATAGCATCTTGACCGTTCAATTAACACATTGGTTCCTTCAAGACGAGGAAGGCCAAGGGTATTTAAGTCATACAATAATTGTGAGGGCTAAATGGGCAAGTTTGTATTTGAGGTACAAAATTGAAATTTAATGGAAAACCATGGGCGTTTTTCTCTTCGATGTACGGCTGAGCCAGCAAACACCCCTGCCACTTCAGAGTTGGAATTAATTATAAAAAAAATTATTTAATTAAATAAATAAATTTTCTCTCCGTCTCGTTCTCTCTCTAAATATTATTTTCTCGCTTTCTCTCTCTATAGATCAGTCTCTTTCTCTCTCTAAATATTGTTTTCTGGCTGTTTTCTCTGTCTAAATATGGGTTTCTCCTTGTTTTCGCTTTATATATCGTTCTTCTCTCTCTAAATATTATATTCTCGTTATTTTCTCTCTCTAAAAATTAGATCGTTTTTCTCTCTTGTTTTCTCGCTGCTCTCTTTCTAACTCATTCCTTACCTCCCTCTGTCTCTCTCTACATTTCTTTCACGCTTCACTCTCTCTATGTTCTCTCGCTACCTTATTTTTCCTCTCTCTCTCTGATTTTCGCTTCACGCTCTGTACTCTCTCTCTCTTTCTCTCTCTCTCACACTAAATATATAGGAGCAGAGCACATGATTTTGCGTCAATAATGCCATTTCGCTTTCTGTAAAGGCTTGTGATCGCAGTGAAGAGAGAGAGAGACCGATAGAGAAATCTGGAACATGCTAAGGTTAGTCAATTTTATCCATTCTTTTCGGATCGAGACTTTCTGTTTAGGGTTAATGCTTTCGGTTTTTCTTGTTGAAAATGGTGAATGATTTGCTTGATCATGTACTCTTTTTAGCTATTTGTATGAAAGAGAGGTTATCCTGTTTCACTTTGGGGCCGTGTAGTGTTTGCATGCAAAATGGCATGCTCAGTATCTGGTAATTGCTTTCTTTGTGGAATAAAATGGTGAAAATTTTGAATTTTTATGTATATTCTCGTTCCTCATTTTGTTGCGAAAGGGATTATGGACTGCAATTGATTATCACTGTAAATTCAGACATATGGGTCGTCCATATTGGTTTTCTTTTTGGGGAAGTAGGCCCTTTTTGGGTTGACTTGGGTTCTATATTAGGGTTCTTTATGGTGGAGTAGGGTGGTTTTTGGTATTTTAGGGTGGTAAAGGTTCCTGTTTTTGTCTGGTTCGCTAGTTTATTGTGTTTTTATTTTATCTTTTTTCGAGTTTAAAAGATGTTTCTTTGGCTAGAATCGTGAACAATGCGGTAACGATGCACTTCGTAATTGCATATTGAGAGTTTGGTTCCTTTCTTTTTGTCAATTTGGTGTTTTTTATGTTTTTGTTATGATCAGGTGGTTCTGATGGATTGGATCATTTGTTGAATTTATCATTTCTATGCGGTGCACTTTGGTTTCATTCTTATGGTTTTTTTTGTAAGATATGAGAAGAAACATTAGATCCTCCCTGTGAGTTATTTGTTGAGGTGATGGATCTTGGTGCCAACACTCAAAAAAAGAAATAGATCATGGATCTTTGTTCATTTTTATTTTTTGAATTTGGCTATCATTCTTGAATAGGTGAATAAATTTGATATAGTCCTCTCTTTGTGGATTCATCTGTTTATGTTATGGTTGGTCTTTGTTCTGGTGAACCTGGGTTTCTTTGGCTTATTAAATATTTAATATGTTTGAAGCATTTATATCATTGTTTTTATGCTAGTGGTCTCAATGCTTTCATCATTATAGAGCCACATAAATTTGTTAATGAAGTTTTTGGGAGATTGGTCTTTTTCTGTGTCTACTTGCGGAATTTGAAAGAAACTTGTTCAAATGGAAGAGAATCACAAAAAGAAAAAGATGGTTTGATTGATTCACATGCTCGTAGGTTCCTAATTCTGTTCTGTGTAATGACCTTTGGTTGGTGGATAGGTTTTCTTTCATTGTTTGGTATATGTCTTTGGTTTTTTATCACGGGGTAAATTAAAGGTTTAAAAGAAACGAGTGATTTTCTCATTGATTCTGGTGTCCATTTATAGCAAAAAATGAGTTTAATTGGACATGAGTAATGAATATTTGGTGTTTTTATTGTGTATGTCTTTGGAGGAAAGAGTTTAAGCATCTCAGGCAAGGTAGAGCAATTCTGATGTAGCGTGGTCAATAACCATGTCACTTGTTAAGGTTGTGACTGTTTTTTCTTTTTTTAAACCTCCTATTTGTCTAAATCTTATTTGCTAGTAAACTTTTCAGCTTTAGTTTCATGCTCCAATGGAGCTACTGCTTTCATTTCTCATCCCTGCCATTTGTATCTCCTCTCTTTATTTCCTCCAGCCTTTCTTGAAGGTTCTTTTGCCTTATCCTTGTGCTCCATATATTTCTTTTGGTGTGTCATTCTTTGAATTCCCCTCTGAGAATTCCCTTCTCTCTTCAGAGTCTCATCCTCTGCATTTCCTTATGACTTCCGTCATCCCAAGTGTACATGATTCCTCAATTGCAGTATTGGTAGATGGAGAACATGAGATTGGTTGAACTGTACTTCTTTATAACAAGGGATTCACAAGTGGATCCATAGATATATGAAATAATAATAATATATCATTAAAAATCAAAGTCATAAATCTATTCAGCAACGCAGTTCATAATAACTTCTCCTGAGTAAAAATGATAAAAGAAATCTTCATTTTATCAGCAGGGACTGAATGTGCTTTTTCCTTTATATATCTTACAATCAAATATTCCCATCCCTTCCCTAAGTTACAGGGCCATCTAGTGGAAGCATATCTTGCAAGTTATTCTAAACTGCTGGTGGTATATATCAATTAACAGTAGGCATAATTCTTCATAGATAACAATGACACTTACATTTTGATAATTTAACATACCATTGCTCTAAAAATTAATTGTTTAATTGGAGTGATCTGTATTTTGTTAGTTAGGGCTATTGAAGATTGGAATTATTATCAAATTAAAAAACTTTCAAAAATGATTTTTTTTTTCTGTTTTATGTAGTTTCTTGAAAGATCATTTTTGTAGCAATTTATAAGGAGTGTCTACTCTGCATATTAAGTACCTCAGTGAAATAAGAGAAAATCTCTCTAGTGTTTCTGCAAAATGGTGGAGACCTCATCTTTCAGAAATGCTACTTGCAGTTTTGTAACTATGCTAACTTCAAAATTGAGATTTTGATAGAGCCAGATGTCTTATATTAGTGATTGTCTACAAAGAGACTATTTCTTTTTTGTACATGGAGGTAACAATCATTTCCACTCATTAGATGTCAAATTGGATGGCTTGGGGTGGGTCACGAAGTTTGAGCATTTTTTTTTGGAACTTCGTGTTTATTCAATGAACAAGAATGATTGTGACCTCCATTTGCAAAAGGTAAATGGTCTCTTTGTGGACAATCCCTTTATATTAAGATAAGGTTCACAATGTACATGTATTATATCCTTAGCTATATGTTCTTACAGCACCTCTTGGAAAATATCCTTAGCTATTATATATGTACATATTATTTCTTTAGCTATATGTTCTTGAAGAACCTCTGAGAAAATAACTAATGGTTGAAACAGTAACACCATGTTGGTTGCACAATGTGTTACATAAGATCTTGAAAATTTGTATAATGCTTGATATTATGGGGCGTAAATGCAAAATCTCTAATCTAGTCCATCCTCAGTGATAAAGGAAAATATCTTTAGCTATATATGTATGTGTTATATCTTTAGTTATATGTTCTTAAAGAACCTCTTGGAAAACAACTAATGGTTGAAACAGCAACACCATGTTAGTTGCAGAATGTGTTACATAAAATCTTGAAAATTTGTGTTATGTGGGAACCTAAATGCAAAATCTTGAATATAGTCGATCTTTACTGCTAATGGCTCAGGGAGGCTGGGGCTTGCCAAAATTACCAATTATTATATTATTCTTATTGTTCTGTTTGATAGCACGAGTCAAAACTCAAACAATATTTTCTGAATTATTGCAGCTCAAAAGCAATCAATTGGTGACTCTGTGTAGCATGAATTTGATGACATCATACACGTATTATATCTTTAGCTACATGTTTGTGAAGAACCTCTTGGAAAATGACTCATGATTGAAATGGTTACAGCATGTTGGTGGCAGAATATAGATTTTAGGACCCAAATGTAAAATATTGAATCTAGAACATTGGTGCAAATGGCCTGGGAGGCTGCGGGGGCTTGGCAATATACCCATTTATTATTCTTACTGCTGTTTGATTGGAAGAGTGAAAACTCAAAATCTTTTTTTCTGAATTATTATTGCAGGTCAACCATATTTGAGATTTAAGTGGTGACTTTTTGTGGCATGAATTTGGTCACATCATATTTTTCCAAATTTGCAAGCAGTTGAGAACACTAGCTTAACAAGTTATTTCTGGGAACTGACAATTTTACAAGCGACAAAGGCTTATTTCTTGGAAGGCTATGGTAACTCCTTTACATTATGTATTTGTTTAATTTGTGTTTCCAAGTCAGCATTTTACTTTCTTCTGCTGCTCTTAAATGCTTCGATGCATTTGTTCAGGCTACCAATGAAAATCTTCCACCCACTGTTATAAGAGAACTTGCAAAGGAGTTGAAGAATCTTGATGAGACTCCACCCGAGGGAATTAAAGTTGGCATAAATGATGATAACTTTTCTACTATATATGCAGACATAGAGGGTCCAGGTATATGGTAGTTACGCTAACATTTATCTTGTGAAAACCACATATCATGGTCTAATTTTTTGGATGATGTGCCCAATGCATGTTTGTCGCATTTATTCACCTTGCAGCTGGTACCCCCTATGAAAATGGTGTTTTCCGGATGAAGTTGGTGTTATCTCATGACTTTCCACACTCACCTCCTAAGGGTCAGTTTCCGGATGAAGTTGGTGTTTCTCCATTCTCTAGTAGTGTTGACATTATTTGTTCGCACAACTGAAGTTAGTAAAAACACTCTTTCCACCTATTTCAGGTTACTTTTTGACTAAAATCTTTCATCCAAATGTTGCCACCAATGGTGAGATTTGTGTGAACACCTTGAAGAAGGATTGGAACCCCAGTCTTGGATTGCGCCATGTGCTTCTTGTAAGTTCTAATTTACATATATGAACTTGAATGGTTTTCACCAGTAAGATATCTTGATGGGTTGAAGTGTTCTTATTCTTACATTCTATTTTTTATATATGTGGTAATTTAAATGGCCTGTATAGCTAATTGAATTAGTGGGTTTCTGTTGGTTATATTTGTGGTGTGTTGTAGGATCCTTTATCTGCTGAAGTCAAATGCATGGTTTGGAAACCAATGTTAAATTTTCGATGAATTTCCCCGAAATCTCACAAACATATTGGATAATTTTCTGTTACTATATATTAGTTGATATGAAACTTGTAACCTTTTAGCCACAATTTAATTTCTAATCCACAATTTAATTTCTAAAGTTTTTGGTCAATCTTTAATAGTTTCATTTGCCTAAACGGTCATAATGTTAACTAAATGTAGGCCTTAAAATTAACAATAGTATTTTCACTGTAAGAAAAATGGTCTAGCCACCTAGGTGTGTTTCTTTTGTCAACATTGGATCTTAAGAATTAAAAATACTGAAAGATTAGGGCACTCTATGACGGGCTTGTAGTAAGGGGTTCATGGGCTTAATTGAGTCTCCCCAGTGGGTCATAATTTTTTTGGAAACCCCTTGATCCAAGTGAGTGTCCAGTGTCCACAACATTCATCCACTAAAATTCGTTCTGACTGAGCTTCCATTCCACTATGATATAGTCCCTCCAGAAATGTACAGCCAATTTACTGTATCACTGGTCACGATCAATTTCTAGAATGGTTGAAGCCACTACTACAAGATGAACAAAGCATGCATTTCGATACCTCCTATCTCATTAGTCTAGTGCCATCTCTGAAGACTACCAGTCACTCCCATATTACCCTTTTATTCAATTGAAATATATGCATATTATTTGAAGGATGGGGATTCTAGAGTCTGCCGACTCATATGTACACATGCATCCCCCATCTAAAATCCATCTTAAAAATGGAAAAAAAAGGCGATCATGAATATTGGATATCAATCCTTGGTGACGAGACCCCTCTAGCCACCTAGGCATGTTTCTTTTTTATCCAATTTTTTAGGAATTCATGATCTAGGCCAAGGCAATCATGAATATGGAAAAAAAAAAATCAATTTTTTAAGAAAATTAAAATATGTTTTTTTGGGGATCTTTTTTGCACCATTCATATTTATTTTGGTCCGGTGCACTTTACACTTCATCCATCTTCATCATTCCAGTCACTCCCATATTGCCCTTTAATTCAATTGAAATTTATGTATCTTATTTAAAGGATGGGGTTTCTATGTGTCAGCCGACTCATATGTACACATGCATCCCCCCTCTAAAATCCATCTTAAAAATGGATTGTTGATCCAAATTTTTAGGAATTCATGATCTAGGCCAAGGTGATCATGAATGTGGAAAAAAATAAAATAAAAAATCAAATTTTAATAAAAATTAAAATGTGCTTTTTTTGGGGATCGTTTTTGCAATGTTCATATGTTATTTTGGTGCGGTGCACTTTACACATCATCCATCTTCAATATCTATCTTAAGGTTTGGACTTCACAGGTGAGCGGGCTCTTGCATCAGCTGACTCACATAAAACTTTTCCTTATTTAAATAGGAGCACATTCAATCACTCATTTTCTTAATAATTTTCCCAGCACTATTGCTGCAAATCAATGGTATTGTTGGTATTGCAACCCACATCCTTAGTGGTCAAATGTGGTAATATTTTTTTATATACCCATTGTTAGATATATTAGGTCCATAATAATGGCATGATGAATGATACATTAATGATGTTGGCATGACACTACTTCAAACTACTTGTGACCACATATTTGTATGAATCTTTTAATAGTTAATAACAAGGAAAAAGTGGCAGCTCCAACATGGAACTTGGGCCCTTGGAACACCGAAAACTCAGGACAATTGTAGTAGACTAGCCGGAGTCTTCACCAAGCCCCCCAATGACGCAAAAATTTCAGGAAAGAATTTGGAAAAACACCTGAAAAAATAGTAAAAAATGGGGAAAAACTAGAAAGGAAAACAACATCATAGTATATGTAAGTTGAGAAAGAAGTTTTCAGAAAATAGAAAAATATTACTTAGGTAATGGATCATTTTATCCGAATTCTTAGAAAAATGAGGGAATTATAAAATGTAGGAAAAGAAAACATAAATGTATTACTTAGGCTATGTTCCAAATGGGTAGCTAGCCCCTATATTTAAGCTTTCCAAATTTGACAGTTGGAAATATGACCATTGGGAATATGACCATTGGGAATATGACTATTGGGGATATGGCTGTTAGAAATATGGCCATTAAGAATATAGCCATTGGGAATATGGCCATTAAGAATATAGCCATTTGGAATATGGCCATTACGAAATGGACCCCACATTAATTATGAGGCCTTTGGGCCATTATTCCAACATCTTTCTCTTAGTCAAAAGGTCGAATGCACTAGCGTTCCTTAGACACAAGATTTTCCCATAAAAGGCTTTAGTCAATTGTGACATGGTTCCAACAAATTCCCACTTGGTCTTTCTTAGTCACAAGATTTGCCCATATATTTCCTTCTCTCTAAACCTTCCCTGATCGGTCTTTGAGAAACGGCCCTCCAAGGATTTAGGCATGTGCTTTTCCTCATATGATTCGTCTGAAATCATTTAGAAAATAGTTATTTATTTTATATATTATATTTAGAAAGAAATTTATAAAGGATAACCAAGTTACAGATTTTTTGCACAAAATATTTGCCATGCCATCATGAAGATTTTCATGCTAACGCTGATTTATCAGTCATGGTAAGGGCAATTTACATAATGAGGATTTTCACTCTAATGCGAATTTGTCAACTCATTCAAAATAGTTTGGCATCGTGAGGGCAAATCACATCATGAGTCACGCTAATGTGGATTTTGTCAACTCATGCAGCATAAAATGGCATCGTGAGGAGCAAATTACACGAGGATTGTCATGCTAATGCGGATTTTGTTAACTCATGAAAAATAGTATGCCATAGTGAGGCCTCATGGCCACCACATCTGCCAACACAATGACTGCATGTGTCAACACAATGGCATAGCCACTCGTCACCTGCACCAACACAATGGTCACATGTGCCAACAAACGCATGCGCCAACATAATGACCACATGTGCTAATACAGTAACCACTCACCACATGCACCAACACAATGTTCACATTTGCCAACACAATCGCCACATGCGTTACTACAATAGCCACTTGCCATGTGCCAACACAATGGTCGCATTTGCCAACACAATGGTCGCATGTGTTACTACAATAGCCACTCACCACATGTGCCTACACGATGGTCACATGCACCAATACAATGGCCATATGTGCTACTAGCCTGAAATCCTCATGATAAAAATCCATTACAAGAATATGTTTTCTTTCTATCATGAGTAGCGAAATCTGTTTTAACATGACATTATGGAAATTTTGAGAGGTAGTCACTTCATAATAAAACTATGAATATTTGTCATGAGAGGTACATCTGCAAAAGCATCAGAAAAATCTCTTGACAAAGCATTGTCACACTGGTAGTGCTCAAAAATAGGAGTGAACCTTTGACAGATTGCTAGGCTCAGCCCTCATATAACCAAGTGGGAGGATGTATGTGCATGTGGCCATTGTGTTGGCATGGACATTGTGTTAGCACATGCAGTGATTGTATTGGTGGATGTGACCATTGTATTGGCACATGTGGTGACAGATTACTAGGCTCGGCCCATATGACCAAGTGGGAGGATGTATGTGCATGTGGCCATTGTGTTGGCATATAGACATTGTGTTATCGCATGCGGTGATTGTATTGGTGAATGTGACCATTGTATTGGCACATGTGGTGAGTTGCTATTGTAGTAGCACATGTGGCTGCATATGGAATAAATCAATTATAGATTAATTAATTACAATATATCATATATACCCTGAACTGGGGATGTTGCTGTTGAGTCCGAGTAACTCAGGCGAGTTAAGAGTTTTCTTACACAGATTAATACCATAAAATGCTCTTGCAATTCTACAAAGTATCTATAACTTTACAAGTCATCATTGGAATACATTGTTGCTTATGTTATTACTTTGTCGAGCTGTTGATACTGTTTCAACTGCATGTCATATGTTAGAGGCATAAAGTTCTGAATAACTGAGGTTTACGTAACTCTGGAAGAAAGTTGAAATTTGAAGGTTTGAGCTTGGTAGAGATCTTTGAGACACTTCTCATACTGTTTCTTTTAGGTCAGAGTCTTTTTGGTGGGGGTGGGTGTAGGATTGTGATGTTAATAGCTTTCTTTGACAAGAGTTTGACGAGGATAAGGCTTTGTGATTCGGATATGTAAGGGCCTTTTTTTCTTTTGATTGGGAGATAAAGCTGTCTTTTTGTTGTTTTAGTTCGGTTGGTCCATTATACTCGGATATGAGATTAATTGATGATGCAGCACTTTGATTGCTCGAAAAATGAGAATGTAATTTTTTGGGTTTTGTGTCTTTGCCATGAATGATGACCTAAATGCACGTTACCCCAACACCTTAGGTGGGGTTCGTATTGCGTGTCAATGTGTTCGGACACTGGCTATATACATAACTAAAGAGTTCTAGAAGGCTATGAAGTTTTGACATCTTTTGTGGGAGTTCTGAAATCTATCACTCAGCCAGCTCATTTTGTGTAATAAAAGGACAAACTGTAATTTATATGTATATTTTGTGCTAGCTTTTTACACCAAAGTACTGTACACTTTAGGCATGTAGTAGATACGACACTAACACTACCTAAATGACCTAGAACAAGAGAGAGAAAGAAACCTAGGTGAAATACATGAAAGGGACTGCCTGAAATTGTGCACTTTGCAAAAAGGACCCTCTCGCCTAGTGTTCAATTCCAGAATCTTTTGAGCGTTCTCTCTTCTAAAATTTCCTAGTTAAGGTATCTTGAAGTTCTGTTTGAGCAAGGAGTGTTTTTTCACTGGAGGTTGTGATTAGTGTCCTAGACAATGTTTTTAATTTGTTTGCAGAGTCTAAATTTATCTCCAAGTACTATTGCGTAATACTAAAGGAAAATTTATAAAAATACCTATAAGAGATGAACTATTTAACAATTACCCATAGTGTTTGATTTAATTTTGAGATGCCCATCAAAAGACGAATGATCATGAGTTAGAATAGTTGCAAATGTGTAAAAATATTAAATAGTGCCTCATGGGTATTTTGATAAATTTCCTAAAACTAAAAAACTATCTTACTATCATAATTAGTGGTGCCCTGTCAGTTGAGCATTACAGTTCAGACACTAAATAATTTCTTAGCATTTTACCATGAAAACGAGTGGAAATACGGAAAATAACGTGAACCTAATTCTGTGGTTATGTGATGATAACAGGTTGTCAGATGTCTACTGATAGAACCCTTCCCAGAATCAGCTTTGAATGAACAAGCTGGTAAGATGTTGCTTGAAGATTATGAGGAATATGCTCGGCATGCCAGGTGAGGCATCTATACCTTTCGAACTTTTTCTTTCTTGATATTCAAAACAATTATAAATGTAATCCGAGTGTTGAGTGGAACTAGAATGCTAACATATGTGTTACAAATATATGATAATGTGCCAATGAAATGAATTTTGAACCACATGTTGCACAGAATTTTTGATAGATTGCAAGTCTTGGTTGGTTTACTGTGCTAATAAAATTTGTACCGCTATGTAAGTGCCAGGATTTGGATTTGCCAGATACCTTTTTGGTCTTTGTATTGTTAAGAGCTTGTTGTAGTTATTACTGAGACGAGAGTTTGGTGTAGATCACCATCATCTGGTCACTAGTGTTAATTCACCATGCTTTTTGATAGATTGCAAGTCTTGGTTGGTTTACTGTGCTAATAAAATTTGTACCGCTATGTAAGTGCCAGGATTTTGGATTTGCCAGATACCTTTTTGGTCTTTGTATTGTTAAGAGCTTGTTGTAGTTATTACTGAGACGAGAGTTTGGTGTAGATCACCATCATCTGGTCACTAGTGTTAATTCACCATGCTTTTTGATAGATTGCAAGTCTTGGTTGGTTTACTGTGCTAATAAAATTTGTACCGCTATGTAAGTGCCAGGATTTGGATTTGCCAGATACCTTTTTGGTCTTTGTATTGTTAAGAGCTTGTTGTAGTTATTACTGAGACGAGAGTTTGGTGTAGATCACCATCATCTGGTCACTAGTGTTAATTCACCATGCTTTTAAGTCTACGCACCAAGATGTAGTTGAGAGGGAGCAAGGGAGTGCTGCATACTTCTGTGAATTTTTCTCGAGACCAGATACTATAATACCATTGCAGTTTGCCTTGTTTGTAGTGCTTGGTAGCACACTCCCCCACAACCACACTCTCCTTTTTGCTTGGGCTCAAAACCCTGAGACACCAGCGTTCTCACTCTAGTCCATATCTGCTCACCCAACAGTTTAATTTCTGCACTTACTTTTCTCTTTGCTTGGGCTCTAAACCCTAATTTCATGAGACCAATCCAAATGGGTACTATAGTATCACGTACAAGTTTCATTATGCATCCCCCAGTCCTATTTATCCTAGTGGAGCTGAGTAACCCTTACCGCTTAAAAATAAGGCAGCTTTAAAAGCGGACAATTCCAACTCCTTTGGCAGTATGGACAGTGGATGTTGGGTCTAAGCTCCCAACACTCACAGTTACTTCCTTTTCTTTGCAGACTATATCAAACCACACCTCATTTATCAAATCACGCCTAAAATATCAACAATTTCACATTTATCAACTATCCTAATTCTTGATTACGTGTCTTTGATGGGCTTCTCGATATTAAATAAAAAATAATGGGTGGGATGTTAAATAGTTTCATCTCTTTGTTTCTGTTGGGATTGTAAACAATGAGACAATTTACCTTTGACATAAAGAGGTCACAATTATGTACAACCATCTGATGTGAAATCTGTAGCTTTGGTGTGTCACAAAGTTCGAAAAAAATTCTTTTGAAGTTTGTGCATGGTCGATGGAATAAATGCAACCATCCAATTTCACATTCAATGGTCAAGATCAATTGTGACCACCTTGTACCAAAGATAAACGGTCTCATTGTATATTTTTCTGTTTCTTTTTTTGTTAGTTTCCTTGTTTTTTTTTAAATTAAATCAATAGAAATGGTGAGATTTTTTAAATAGTTCATCTCTTGGTTGCTTTTTGATAAATTTCCTTTTCTTTTCATGAGTTGGTGTGATTTATGATGGTTCTCTTGTACGTGACACGAGATTTTGACGTGCCCTTAATGTTGGTTTCCTGACACGAGTGTGTGTGTGTGTGTTCGACCTTGTTCTCATGTTTGTGATACTATTTTCCCTGCATATGAGAAATGTTAAAATAGTTCACAAGATGGTGTGGCTTCTGATGTCAATGTGGTGGTTATTTCTTGCACAAGAGAAGGTTGTCGTGCCTTTGATGTTGGTTTTGTGATGTGAGAGTGTGTTAAACCGTGTTTCATGTTTTTGATGTTTTCAGTTTCCTTGCATATGATAGAAGAGCGATAGAGAGTTTGATCTTATTTCATGTTCTAATGCATGCACGCACGGAGAGAGAGAGAGTGAGATCGTATTTCACTTATTTCATGCTATGAGAAATTTGTGATCTTCACTTTCTTTAATGTGTGTGCAGGCTCTACACCGGCATCCATGCCCTCAAGCCCAAGGCCAAGCCCAAGACTGCCATCTCAGAGTCCACCACCGCCCTAAATGTGGACCAGACCAACACAGTAGTGGGCCCTGCTGCAGCAGCAGCAGCAGCCCCTCTTCCACCTCTCTCCTCTTGCATGGGCAACAACAACAACAACAAGAGTAGTGGCCAAGAGAATGCAAGCTCAACCACTGCTGACGCAATCCCACCTCTAAACACACTGCAAAAGAAGGAAGGTAGTAGTGTTGTGATAGGTGTGGGTAACAAAGTTCAGGTTGATAAGAAGAAGATGGATGCTAGAAAGAAGAGCTTGAAAAGATTATAAGGGGGGGGAGAGAGAGAGTAGGAAAGCAAAGAGTTGATGGCGGTTTTCCACTTAGGACACTTCCATCCATCACTGTAGAAGAAGTGATTTTTGTGCTTAAGAGTATAATCAAATCCGTTTTGAGAGAAGGAAGAAAATTTGGAGGGGTTTGAATCGAAAGATTGGGCGGAGACGGTTATATAATAAAAAAGGAGGAACTTGATTTTCCCTTGTTCGTGTGAAATGGTGACTCTTTTAGCTTCTTTTTATTAAATTTGTTTTTCCTTCCATTTTTTTGGGGTTACTTGAAACTATAGCCCTGTTTGGAGAGAGCGCTGTCTTAACATGGACAATTCAAAATATCAATCATATGGGATTATGTGTACAAAAGAGACTATTTATCTTTTTGGACATGGAAGTCACAATCATTCTCATTCAGTTGTCAAATTAGATGGTTTGGGGTGAGTACCGAAATTTGATAAAAAATTTTTGGAACTGTCTATTCAATGATTCTTATGACCATCTATTTTGAAATTTAAAGGACAATAATGAATGTGACGTCTATGTATGACAGATAAATCCCATGTCATATTGTCTTTAAAATTGCTGGGTCATGTTTTGTTAATGATTTAACTAATCAATTGCAGCAGTACGTTACAAGTTTGATTCTACCCCTAAAATATTTTTCAAGTTGTGCTTGGAGTGAGAAATTAACACTAAAAGTGTTTTTAGGGGTCTTTTTTTTCGCCAAATGTTAACACTAAATGTCTGTTTGGGTAGGTTTTTCTTCTTTTTTTATTTTTTTCCTCTTTTTTTGTTGAAGTCTGTGGCATCTGGTTTCATGTTGAGCAAATCACAGTGCTGGGGAGGTCATTTATCCCCTGTTCATTTTGGGAAAATCACAGTGCTATCTCATTAACTCACAAGCTTCTCTGGAAATTTTCAGACAAAGCTGAGAATAGGATTTAAAATATACAACGCAGCAGAAAGATGCCAAACACAATGGCGACAGTCTTTTGAGCGAAAGCAGTTGATGGGGGTGGGTAAACAAAAACTGCATATGAAAAGCACGGACAAACACTAGAGCACGACGCAGGATCCCCATTTGTTAGTACCATCTGATTTCTTGAGACCTCTGAGTTTTTGTTTTAAATTGGGGCAGAGCAAGTGCGATGAGCTATGCAGCGGCGGCGGCGAAAGATGTTCCCCCCCAGTCCTCTGCATCATTCGTCTTCTGCAAGAAAGCCCGGAATCAGAGAGGGGGAAGCACAAAATCGTGCATTTTGTAAATCGTGTACTGTGTGCTCGTGCATGGGAGTTGTTGAGAAGCCATTACCACTCTTCATAACACATCTCATTTACCCGGTTCCTCACGCATCTCATTTGTTTCTTTTATCGCATCTTTACAACAGGAAAGAGAGTTACTTCCATATGTTTGATTTCAATGCCCCACAATGTAGAGAGAGATTGTTATTGTTTTATCCTTTGTGAAATAGAAAGAGAGAGAGACTCGTTGTTCTATTGTTTTCCGAAGTTGTCCTATGCATATTGGATGGCAAGGGTTTCTCTTTGTACCCTTGGCAAAGAACCATACCTGGGCTGTGCCAATAGTCCCCATCGTAAATCAAATGAAAAAACTCCTTCCTATCTCTTTTGAATCCTGTGGCAAATACGTAATGCACTTGCCGTCCAAATCAATCTCCGAAAATTAAGAAGATCAAGATTCGCATTTATAGCCTTGATAGAGTAGATCAAAATTCATCTAGCCGATTCTAAATAGTTGAGAATGACGATAATGGAAGGAGATAAAGCTGTCATCTCTCTCTCAACATTCCCTCTTAAGAGAGATTGGATAGAATAAAAACTAATGTTCACTGAACACTCCGCGCTTTGGAATTTGGCTCAGCTGTGCCAAGGTAAAAAAATAACCAAAATACGAAAAGAAAAATAAAAGGAAAACGCCCCACCCCATGAACTCCATTTTTGTGGCCATGACCGATACATTCCATGTTATCCACAAAACCCCAACTTCGAGAGAAGTCTAGAGCGAGATGTGGACAAAACCACTAGATAGTTCAGTAACTTTTGGTTATATTCATGCCAAAGTTTCAAAAGTTAATACTTTATTATTAATTTTTAAGAGAAATGCTAACTTTAAAACTAATGATTTATCCTAACAGAATAGTATAATATAATACAACCATTTATCAAAGAGGTCGCAATCACTCCCATCCCTTAGATGTTAAATTTGATAGCTTGGAGAGAATCATGACACCGAGAATTTTTTCTTTCTTTCGTTTTCCAATTTTTTTTTTTTGAACTGAATCTAACACATACAATACAATCATCTCATTTAAAGATTTAGAATGTGACAGACAAGATTTATTGCAGCCTTATACTGAAGTAAATGATCTCTTTATATACTATTCCTATCCTGATTGTTCTGATTTGTGAATACCTATCCACGGTTTGTATAAAACCTAAGCTCTAAACAATCAAATTAAAACGTACCATCAAATAATATCAAGAAATGTAATTTCAACACTAAAAATCCTTGTAACAGCCTTAAAATATATTTTCATCTTTATTTATAAAGCATAAAGCTTAAATAAATAATATAAATCGACAAATCTATGAAAACTTGAAAATCTTAAAAATTGACAGTCCAAAAATGCCTTACAAAATACACTATTTTCAAAACTCGAAATCCATTTTTTTTTATCATATCCATGCATCTTGATGTCAAGATAAACAATTTGAAGATATTTGATTGTTTAGAGAACCATACCTATCACATGAGCGCGCACACAAATATTACAAAGAAAGAGAACTCAAGAGACCAATATTCCAATAAAAATTTCAGTCACACCAAAAAACAAATTAAAGAGAAAAGGGCAAAGACGACAATAAACAAACCGTCCATACCATGGGCAGGCTAGACCCGCTTTGAAGACGCCCATCGTTCCAAACAAATACAAGTCCGGTGAAAACAAACAGGAAAAAAAAAAACACAAAAACACGAGAGATTAGAGCGAGAGAGCCCCAAAAACCAAACGATACACACTAATCGACTAAAAGAAGTTTGCAGAGACTACTACCATATAATTAACTAAACCAAATATAGATACCTCTCGTGAATTAGATTTTTTTTTTCGGGATGCTGCCGAAGGAGGCTCGGGGTCCAGGTTTCAGAACGTCTAAGACTCAAGATTTCTAGAGAGAGATTGGATTCCTCTAAAAAGAGAAAGAGGAGAGAATTCAGGTTTTCTAGAGAGAGAGGGGGAGGAGTTCGCTCACTTGGCCATCATGACCTTGACGAACTCCTCGTAATTGATCTGACCATCTCCATCCACATCAGCCTCACGGATCATCTCATCAACTTCCTCGTCGGTGAGCTTCTCTCCAAGGTTGGTCATCACATGGCGGAGCTCGGCAGCTGAAATGAAGCCATTCTGGTCCTTGTCAAAGACTCTGAATGCCTCCTTCAGCTCCTCTTCTGAGTCAGTGTCTTTCATCTTGCGAGCCATGAGGTTCAGAAACTCGGGGAAATCGATTGTTCCGTTGCCATCAGCGTCGACCTCATTGATCATGTCTTGGAGCTCAGCCTCAGTTGGGTTCTGCCCGAGTGATCTCATCACAGTTCCCAGCTCCTTGGTGGTTATGCAACCTTGATGACATTGAGAGAGAGAGAGAGAGCCCAACGGAGATTCTCAGTAATCTTCCTTTCATATATAAAATAAAAGACAAATATTCATCGAGATAAAAGCAAAATTCATAAGATAGGGAAGCATCTAAAACATGAAGAATCATGTGAATCGAGAAACATGGAGGTTGATGCAGAAGATAAAGCTTAGGGCTTCTCAGAAACCCCCCTCCGTCCCTCCCTCCCTCTATTTGTGACAGAGAGAGGATTGGGTTTCTTTTAAACAAGCATCAGCTTTATCAAGGGGCCGCAAGATGGTTGCTTTAGCTGCACCCTCATCGCAGCAACACGCACAACAAATAATGCCATACACTCATTCACTGTATTTCTCCTTGTCATGGTAATGATCATCACCATAATGAAATTAATCGTGTATTTAGAACTCTTAACATGCATTGGAAATTAGGAAGCCACTATAGAAGTCCAAAAATCTATTCAAATTTATATATGAAACCATACATGAAGTTATATGGTATAGTACTCTCATGGTACAAATGGAAACTTCCAAGTCAATATAACAGAAGGTCCGTTATCAACTGAAGATGTTCGAAATCGAATACAAAAATCACAAGATGATCTCAGGCATTATACCACTAAGGAAACATGGAATAAGCTTCCGAAGCATTCCATGATGTTCATGAAACGACGTAAACCTTGAAATTTGAGGGAAGGAAGATAAGAATCTGTTCATCAGAAGTGAAAGGCCTAAATGAACCAAAGTGACCATCTTTCCTGTTCTATTGTAATGCAACTAATTTTTCCCAACTAAATTTTTCCATGAATGTACCTTATCGACAACGACCATTACAACAAAACAAAAATGAGCACGGTCCAACACAAAAGGCAAAAAGCGTCCCAATACAAATCTAAATCCAATTATGTAAGATATAGAAAACAATATGAGAATACCGTTACCAACCCTATTCTTATCATGTCCCTTCAATAAATACTACAAGATGTATATGAGAATGTGATTATTAGAATTTTGATCAAGAGAGAGAAAGATGCACTATATCCTTCCTCCTAATGAAACCCAGCAGCTTTGCAAATAAAATCTACAGGTCGACTTTTACCAAAGCTTAAATAGCTCGTTATTTAAGTTCTCAAGAGTTCACACCATGAATGATCATAATTTAGCCAACAAGATCATGACAACAATAAACCTAGGAAGACAAGGTGTTTTCAAATGATACTTTGTCTATTAAACATATAAATAAAAAATGAAAAACAAGAAGAGAGTATATATGTTTACCACAAACAGGTCATAATAACATGTTAATAGGCCAAACTATCAAGAGTGTCAAACAATAATGATCCCTTTTTATGCTTATCCCTATAAAAGTTTCAGATAGTTCCACTGAACCTCCAAATTATTCATAACGCATTCCTTGTATAACCCCAACAAAATATCTACACCCAAAGTTCATTAAATTGACAACAGATCAAAAACAACATGCTGGGTAAGAACTTGCCAAAAAAAATTGCTGGGATTCAATCCCAGGACCTATCCTGAATCCTAACAAAATTGGTGTCAATCTCCCCCCACTCACTCCCAAAAAAAAAAAAAAAAAAAGCCCAAAAAAGCCCCCCAGGGGTAAATAGAAAAGTTTGAGTGCAAAAACCTGATTAACATTTAGATAAAACACTATCAACCTTTTTTTTCTTTTCCTTTTGTTTCTATAAAGCCCATTGTTCCAAAAGGCCCGCCTAGGCTAGAAGGATATTTTTGGGTTCTTTAAGAAAAATAAGAGCGAAAAATAAGAAGGGAAATGGTGGGTTTTAGTTTCGTATGATTTCTGTAGATTTTAGGGGTTAGGCGCCGCTTGGCATTTTTTTTGAACACCATTGAATAACAAAACAAGCACTGGCCCATATTAACAGCAAATAAAAGTAAAGGAAGTATTTGCCAAATTGAAATCCGGATGCAAAACCAAATTTAAGACCATATATTCCTTGTATACACCAGCCAAAACAGGTAAAAAACAACCAATAAATAAAAACATAACAACAAATTTGCACATCTCCCCTTCAATAACAGGAAACCACAGTTCAGATGCCAAACTCAAGGCCCTTGGTTTGGAAAATATCCTTAAAAAGGGTAAAAATAGGAGAAACAAAAAAAAACTATAGGCCCTTGGTTTGGAAAATATCCTAAAAATGGGTAAAAATAGAAGAAACAAGGAAAACTATAAACAACATACAAAGTACATAACATAAGAAAAAAATTTTCGAAAATAGAAAATTTTAAAACCGGTTAAAGATCTCCTAAAATTCTCCCGAAAAAAAAATTTAAATTTATAAAAACATACAAAATTAATTATCAATCAATTATAATTGATTTAGCCGAGATTAAATCAATTATAAAGTAATTTAAATTTATTACAAATATATTTTATATGTCTCCCTTAGTTGTGGAATGTTCTGTACTGGGCAGCGAGTCTGAGTGAAGGTTTATCATAACAGAAAAGGCTAAAATAGCCAATTAATTATTTCACAAAAATATGTGTAATGATCATGAAGAGGACTAACCTATCCCAAAAATATAAAAAAATAAACCAATATGAAGAGAAAAGAGAACTGTTACACTGCTAAACGATTTCCATCAGATAAATTGAGTTGTTTCCCAAAGTAGATCCAACAAGAACACACACCAAATTAAAATCCAGAAACCTGCCTCACTTGATAAATTTCATGCCAGGAACAGTTACACTACCAAAAAAACAATCAAATCATCATATAAATCAGAGAAAAAATATCTTCAACAAGACATGTAACCTATAGCACATAATATGAGAGATCACTACAAAAGTCCAATATTTGAAACATTATCAACATGGAAAAACCAAAGACACCACATAGCATACATCAACTGAGAAACACAAAAGCAGACTCTAAATTTACACTAAACATAGCTAAAGAAAAAGTCAAAAGCAGATTCTAAATTTAGAATCGACGTAGCTAAAGAAAAAGGAGAGAACAACCCTAGATCTGAACAAATAGCAAATATTTACATAAAATCCCAGATCAAAAACACTATAACTATAGATCAAAAGAGGAAGTCTAGGGATCTAACCATCTCCATCTTTATCAAATAAGCTGAAAGCCTCTTTAAATTCTGAGATCTGCTCGTCTGTAAGCTGATCGGCCATGTTTCCTCAAAAACACAAACACAATATCAAAAACACAAACACAAGAGGAAGTGAAAGAGAAAGGAAGAGAAAGAAAGAGACGAAGAAAAATTATAGAGAGAAACACTGAGCAGTTTCTGTAACGTCCTCAAAACTCAACCCTTCACTCTGAACAATCCGGAGACACAGCGCGTGGATTTTATACGCAAAGATAGCCTTTTATAGGGGAATTTTTTTTGTGGCGTTTTAAATAAGTACTAATTTCTACCACTTTATCGAATATTTCTAATATATATAAAATAATATGACTAAAGTACCCCAAATTATGGCGAAATGACCAGAAGGTCCCACTCTTTGTAGAAAAGGAAATAAATCAAGAAATGCCCTTGTAATTTTTCATATATACTTGCGTAACCCTCAAGTTTTTTTCTTGTTTTTTTTTCTTTGGAAAATTTGTACACAACATCGTAGCCCTAACAAAACACGTAGAGCCTCGCCTCGAAACTCTCCAAAAATTGTAGCTCTTGTTTAGGAAGACCTTCAAATTGATCATCTCGACCTTGATCATTATGAATATAAAAAAAAAAAAAGATTTGAAACCCTAAAAATAATATATATGGTAAAGTATTATCTAGATCGTCGATTTTGCCTTAAAACTAAGTGTTTACATATCCGTAAGATCTGTACTATTTTTTAAGCTTCAAAATTTATACTTAATATTGAAAATTGAGTTTAGAGCCATCATGTAGATTTATGATGCCTAGAGTACTTTCCAGATGAAGATTCAAAGTTAGGCTTTATTTATTTTGATAAAACATGTCTTATAGAAACTTCATCCTTTTCTTTTTCTCAGTGGGAATGGATGAAGGTTTGGTGCTTTTACCAAAACTAAAAAAAACTGGAAATTTTACTCTTTTGAGTGCAAATATTAGGTGGCGTTTGGTACCTCAAAATCTATTACAAGAGACATATTACAAGAAAATATGGGATTTACCATATATGGGTACTTTTTTAACGGTAAGAAAATGGAAATAAATTACACAAAGTCTCTCCAAAATACGTAAAATCTATTTTTTACATGATGGCTGTCAAATCCAATAGACGCTTAATCTAATCTTATGGCTACACTTTTAACACTAAGAAAATGAAAATAAATTACACAAGATTTCTCATAGGTTAAATCTATTTCGCACAATATAGCTGTAAAATCCATTACCCCCATAATCTAATTTCTTGCCAAAAAAATACTCTATTTCCTTCTATTTCCTGCTATTGCACATCCATTCTACCACCATTCTCTCTCTTGCACACATCCATTCTACCACCATTCTCTCTCTTGCACACATCCATTTCTATTTTTTTTCTCTAAACTCCACTTATAAGTGTTTGTATCATGCGTACATCCATTTTCTACGCTCCTATCTACATCATTTCTATATCCCTTTATCCCCAATTTGGGTTGTATCACTCATTTCAACCATCGGCTAACATCTATTTCTACACTCTCATATCCACATCTATTTCTTTGGTGTAGCACTCATCTCAAGCTATCAGCTTTCATATTATTATGTCATAGCTTTTCAAGCCCTTGAAGCAATTTTAGGTATGTTCTGTATTTAATTTTTCTCCTCAATTCAAAAGGGATTTGGATTGATTTTGGATTTGGATTGATAGGTTATTGCAAAAGAAATTGCATTCCTCTCTTTCTATATTTGACCGAGATGATTTTTGGACTTGGGAATTTTTATTAATAAATTGCTATACTTACTCACTAAGACACACATACATTATCTCTCTCTCTTTTGGTGGATGATGATGAACTTCTCTATCAATTTCTATATCGATGATAATATTAGTAAATCTTGTTAGAACAATGACAATTTTATTTCACGTTCTCATTCTCCCTTTAAAATGACGATGATTAAGATCAATACTTTGCATTATCATTATTTTTTGAAATGGTGATTATTAATATATTTATTTCTCTCTCTCTAGAATGGTGATGATGTTATTATTAAAAAATCTTTTTGGAATGATGTGATGATGACTTTAATTCCACATTTCAATGGAATTTTGTGACAAGAAAAAAGAAATGATAGTTTATAGGCAAGTGCTGGTAAAATGTTGGTAATGGATTCCCCATATTTCTTTCAGATATAACCAAATAATAGCAATGTATTTCTTAGGTTGCATCTAAATACTACCTAAACATTAACCATCCATTTGCATGTAATGTATTACGCCAATAATATATTTTATAGATAATATATTTCGAGGTATCCAAACTATCCCTTTGTAATTTCATCACTAATACAATTAAGAACATTAAGGAAGATGATTTATTTTGTTCTTTTTAGTAAAATGTTATTCCATAAAAAATGCTGGTAATTTTTTTATTCAGATGTTGAATTCAAACTGAAAGCTTATTATTATTTTATTATTATTATTATTATTATTATTATTATTATTATTATTATTATTATTATTATTATTATTATTATTATTGAGAAATTCTTCATTAAGAAACCTTGGTCTTGGCCATGCATGTAGATTGCACCACTTTAAAATTTGCATCTACCCCGTATGGTGCCCTAAATATCATTTATTTTGAAAGTAGGGTAGGAAATTGAATATTCTACCCTAAATATCATTTATTTTGAAAGTAGGGTAGGAAATTGAATATAGAATATGACTACACGATTTTTTTCATTTTTTATTTATTTTATTTTTTTGTTGTTTCTATTGGAATATACTATATATTTACTCTCAAAAAATACCTGGGGAACAACATGAAATTTTGAGATCCACTTAAGAATCACCACATAATTATTTAAAAACAGTTAGATGTTTAAACACCATCATAAATTTAACCATCATAGTTCAATAGTGAAATTTATTTGGATGGGGTTTTTATGGGTTGGGGCCTCACTTATACCAGAATTTTAATCTAAAATTTTAGATATTCATGATTTAGGTTAAGATGATCATGAACATGAAAAATATATAGAACTTTTTATATTTAAAATGTGATTTTTTTGAAAAATTTTTGCACCATATAAACCTAGTGAGTTTTTACAACGTCGTCCATCTTAAAGATTGGTGTTGTTGAGTCAGTGGGCTCTTGCACACGCTAACTCATGAAGGGGACTTCTTCAAAACTATATCTATGTAGAGGGTGTTTCAATTTTTTTTGGACGAGTCAATGCCGATCGGCGTCCCTAACCACCGATGCCCCAACCCCATTTCCATAATTATCAAGTTATTTTAAAAATAAAATAAAAAGATCTCTCTCTAATTACTCTTGTCAAAAAGAAGAAGAAGATCTCTCTCTATTTGTCGTTGTATCATCTTCTCATGTTGTCTCCTTTTAGGGTAGATTAGTGTGGAATATAGGCCTCTATTTATTTTAGAAATAGATATGATTTTCGATTGCGTTAGTAGAAATGAAAACCTACATCGAGAGCTGAGATTCACGTGGTGCTACCATCTTTTCATGTTATATCTTTATTTAATTTTAAGGTTGTTTTGGGTTCGCAATGATCATCTAAATCAGGGTGTTTTGGGTCATTTTCTCAAAAAGCCTGGGGTCCTCCTTACTTGGGTTCAAAGATAGGAATGTTTGGTCAATGTTAAGCCAAGAAGAAAAGCATAAATCCTTATCTTCTTTCACTAACTACAACTTCTCAAGTAGTACTAGTACCCCTCAAACTTGAACTCTTACAATATTGGAAAAATAATTTTTTAATAATCACAAAAACCACCAAGAAATTGGAAATTTGAAATTTTTGTTGCCCATTTTATATAGAAGTGCCTCTAATGGCTACACTTAAAATATTTATAACACTGGACGATGATTTTTCTTTCTCATTTATTAGGACTGAATTTTTCCATTCATTTTTTTTTTTGGTTTATTTTTCTCAATTTGCAAGTCGGTTCAATTTTTTGGTGACACTTGGACCGTCAGATAAGCATTCTTGTAATGTTTCCCTTTAAATGAACGGTCCACATTTCGATCATTTTGAGTCAAGAGGGTATGCTCGATAAATCCTATATTGTCTCTCTCTCTTTTTCTTTTTTCTTTTTTTCTTTTTCTCTTTTTCTTTTTCTTTTGAGTGTTGAATCTTTGATCTCTTTTTCTTTAATGGCTTCGAGAAGGACCCCCTTTCCCTGGTTGACATACTACATGTTAAAAAAAAAAAATTCATTTTGTATAAAGTACTGATATTTCTATCTTTGAGATATGAGGCTTCCTTTTTCTCTTCCTGATCGTACATGCAAGACATGAGTGGCATTGGAATGCGTTAGATTAGTAGCATGTGTAAGTACAGTATGTAAGTTAACTAGAAAGTCAGTAGTAATTCGATTTTGGTTCAAAAAATTTAAGGAAATAATTAGGTCCAAGAAAATGGAGAACTAGAAAATTTGAGCTACACTATAATATATGAGATAACCAAAACATATTAATCAGTTTAGGTCCAAAAAAGTCATGGAAAAATAATTAGGCAAAAGAAAATGGAGAGCCAGAAAATCATGTTATTCATTAAGTGACTAAAGAGAGGGAGTTAAAACTCTGTATATGTATGCATCTTTGCAAGGGGCAAAGATATCAAACTTGCTCAGTTCCTAGCTAATCGTCTTCATGCCGTCATCAATGAGGTCATTGATGGCCACCAAACCGCTTTCATCAAGGATCGTTTTATTATGGGTCGTGTTCTGCTTGATTTTATTTAAAATTGATTTTGAAAAAGCTTACGATCGTGTGGAATGGGATTTCCTCGACAATATTATATCTCTAATGGGCGTCCTGGCTAATCGTCTTCGTGTCGTCATCAATGAGGTCATCGATGGCCCCGAAACCGCTTTCATCAAGGATCGTTTTATTATGGGTGGTGTTCTGCTTGCGCAAGAAACCATTTATTCCACTGATATGCAAGGGGATTTTATTTAAAATTGATTTTGAAAAAGCTTACGATAGTGTGGAATGGGATTTTCTTGACAATATTATGTCTCTAATGGGCTTTGGGTCTAAATGGAGGTCTTGGATCATGGGTTGTCTTTCTTCGTCCCACTTCTCTATCCTCGTGAATGACAAAGCCCATTGTTATTTCGGGCCTCTAAAGGCTTGAGACAGGGTGACCCCTTATCTCCTTTCCTTTTTACGATTGTAGGGGAAGCATTCAGCAAGTTGTTCCAAGGCCTCGTGGATTCCAATTA